AATTTTATGCTGACAACTAGCTAGGAAACAGATTTCAGCTTGGTTTCTTATGATTGTCTGGAGCAAATTAAATAATTTATAGGGTATCCTCAAGGGAAAACGCATTTCGCGCAATGGAAATTGTACATAACGAACCACATCCACGAATGGTTTCGTTTCGTTATGTGCGGGCACCCACTCCACGCATTCAACTATCCTGTTCCGTAGGACGAGCGTGTCTGGCGGACAGACGATCACGCTGCATCTGGGCTGTTGTAACTTGCAAGGCGCGCGGATTCCGCCCAGGCGGGAGCCGTAACGGCATTCGCGACGCCTACAGCAGGGGGAGATAAGTCGGTGACTCGGTTGGGTGAACCGAACAGCCTTGGTCGCTGAAGTGTTAGCGCGAGGTTCCAGAGTGGCGCGGGTGGGTGCGCTGTCGCCCGCGCGCGCGCGCCGGTCCATACGATGTTTCGTTGAGAGAGGAACAACGTTGGATCCGGTTTCTGGGACCGGATGCGCATGGACAATAGGGAGGACTGCATCCAATTGCTGTTCTTTTACGTGTTGCGGACTTCATGCGAGAGGGGCTATGTTATCCCGCGGATTTGCCTCGAATGGTGTAAGATTTGTGCAGATGCTTGAGTTTCAAAGTTCTTCCATCTGAATTCTCGCGTGGAAGATGTAGTTTTTTGCCACAGATTCTGCTTACAAAAATCTAAGCGAATGGCAGGAAGAATAAGGTCAAGCAGTCGGTCCTGTGTATCTGAGAAGTGGAGTGGCTATATATACTGCGATGATTAGCTTGTTCCATGATGAATGTTTCGCAACGGGTAGGCGTCTTGAGTGTCAGTTCCGAGTGGAGATGTGCGTTTAATCAGTGTAGCGTTGTGATTCTTCGCGAGATTGCGACGCTTCTCAATCTTCGATAGGCAATCTTCGGTTTTTAGCTGCTTATTGTTTAGCTACCTATGCGCGGATATGGCGCCTATCCTTTGGATGGTCTATGCCTTGCTTGTTCCAAGGGCTACCACACCAAAGCACACTGTCTTGCACATGTAAAACGTGCTGTCTTTCGTCTTTAACACTCTTAGTTCCAGAGCTAGCATATCAACCTTGAGCTTGCAGTGGAGTTTGTTCCAGCATTTCCGGTTACGCTGGCGGGGAATGCCCTCTTCGAATTTCCACGCAGGCGATTATTTTGTTGCTAGTCGCCTAGGCGGTTAGATGTGAGAAAATTCCGTCAAAATCAACGTTAGTTATTCGCATGTGGTTCATGTAAAATTTATAACATTATTGTGAAATCTTTCGGAAGCCAGGGTGACTGATGCGCTCCATGCGCAAGCATCATACGTTTCGCGAAGACTACTGCACTGCTTATTGTACAGGTTGGACCATGTTCTAGCACTTCCGGGAAACTTCGGAATGTTTGGGGTATCTTTTTCGTGAATTCTATAGGATTTCATCCAATATTCTTGAAAACTGTCCTAATCTGTACGTATCTACTGTACTTCCGTCCTCACTGATGAGAATTCTGCAGTGTTACCAAAACCGCGTCGAAACAAAATAAATAGAATTTAATGTTGTTTGCGTTGACTTCAAAGGGGCTTTTGAACTCATTCGTTGAGCTTAAGTCATTCAGACACATGAGTCACTGTATAACCCTTAAATAAATAACCAAAGTAAAAGAACTTATTAGAACACGACTAAATGAGGGGAATCTCGTGAAAAAGGTTTATAATCCTTCGGAATTTAGTCTGCTCAAGGTTAGTGTCTTGGTAGGATTTGTGTGATGACCAAATTTTATACAGTCGAACCTTTTCGAGTCAAACTTCGAAGGAACAAGCAATAAAAACCGAGTTGCAAAGGTCTTAAGTTAAGAAAACAAGCGAGACGAAGAAAGAATGACAGAAAACTTTAATTATTGATTTTGAACCGGTCTTTAACGCATAATTTACCCAACTGTTATGACATACGACTTGAATCTCCGTCCCCAAGTAAACGGGCTAATCAGAAAGTGGAGGAAAGTCTTCATTGTAATGCACATTGTATTTCAATGACATAAATTGCTTTTCTCTTTCCTGTGTAGATAAAATAATGGACCAAAACCCTCCAGATGATTGAGTTATGGAGGTTCCAGGGGGAAGTCTTGAGTTTGATATGTTTTCATTGCATTGCTTATGAAGGAATTCAGACTGGGACTTGAAAAAAAAAATTGATATAGGGAGATATTCGACTTGGGGAGGTTCTAATCATCTAGGTTCAACTGTACAGTACTGTATAACGTTGATCACCAGCCAGTTTTAGAATACAGTATGTTGTATACTGCTTTAAATTTTCCTGTTGAGTTAACTATGTGTTAACCTTTGAAATCTTATTCCACCGCGCTTCCCAAATAAACCTTGACGGATTTATTGTGCTTATCACGTTACACGGATCTTATCCTTGGTGCTCCAGTTCACGAGGATGCGCAGCGGGTCGTTGCTCGAGGCTTCTTAGTTCTTCTGCGTTGATTCTCAATTTTCCTTTCTTTGCCAGATGCACATTTATTGAAGGATGGGTGTTTGGCATGATCTGCACAAGTCTTCAAAACATCCGACAAGTTGGATTAAACCACCAGCAGTCAACTCCTAAAAGTTGTTTTTACACGTGGTTGGTTTTGTCATCTGAAGCCTTACTTTCGTTTAGCGAACTTCAATAAGGTGTCGATACTGTAAGATTCTAAGTTCAATAAAATCAAACCATGTCATTATTTTAAATTAAAAAAGATTAAAAGCGACACTCGAAAAGACAATAAGAGATGTTCGCTCTTTTATCTAACACGACGTGTCCATCTCTCTTGAACGAAATTCAATGGGCCAGAAAAATCTTCAACAGTAGATTATAGAGAGTATTTTGTAATAGAATTCCGCAATAACATGGGAAGAGAGCCTTATGCGATTTGTTGTACAGATAAAATTGTTCTAGATAAGATCGTTGCATAGAGAGATTCCGCCTGTATGTAGTACTGTACTGTATTTGAAACGCAATGGAAAATTTATTTAGGATGCCATTTGAATGTGTTCAACTGAACCACATGTTGCAAGCTTTTTTTCTATTAATTTTTGCAAGAAGTTGCAGAGAAAATAAATCCGAAGAAGATTAAGCCATGAGCTGTATCCTTGCTAGGTAGTGTTTGTGTTCGTTGTGACGCCATCTCCATTAATTTTTAAGGAAAGTTCTTCGTGTTTTTCCCACTGCGATGCTACCACAGGTTGTTTTTAGAATAAATGTAGGGATTAGATTGATTTTCTGACGCGAAACGCTAAGCTGAATTGTGGGTCCGCCTGGCCTTCAGATATTTTATTTAGGTTCCTGCGGACGACTTCAGTTGAAAATTTGCGTTTGTTTCTCCCTCGGTTTTCAACAACGGGATTGCTCGACGAGCAATTCCGGATCCTCAGATTTCTGGACACACATGAAAACAAGTATCAGCAGGTGTTACATGGTTAAGATAACCCCTCCCCAAAAATTTTTAGCATGTTCTCCATCAAAAGGAATGAATTTCTTGCCTTTCTTGTTCCAAATACTGTACTGCATTTGACCAATTCAAATTTTACCAAACGTTATATCTGAAAGTTGCCATTGTAAACCTTCAGTATAATTTTCAAACCATTGGTGATTCAGGAGCGTCATTGGAGAATGTTCAGTTTTTTTGTTTTGTTTTTGAGAGACCTGTCTGCTATGAAACATCCCGAGAAATCGTGAGCTATCAACTCCGGAATTCCGCGGAGAATGGGAGATGCAGTGATGGCCAATATTTTGTCCCGAAGTCATTCATGATACAAAATTGTGTATGGAACATTTTAATGCGGAAGACAAAGAAATGATCTGAACTTCTGGAATTAGCGACTATCAATTAAAATGATCGCATCGAGAGAATCGGAGGTTTTCAATTTTTTTCCACTGTGGAAAAGTGTGGGTTTACCACCAGTGCGAAATTTTTTTTTACCACATGAACATTACCTTCCTTGGCGTCGCGAATTCTATCAAATTTAGAATTGTGTCAATTATTGTACAGTATTTCCACATTACTCCATATTTAACGTCCGATGCTTCATGTTTGTCGAACTACTGTACAGTACTATACAGTATTCCGAATCCATTCCTCTGCTGTTTTTGACCGATATTACTGAGAAAGGCGTCAACAATCATCTTATTTTGCCTACTGCATGGACAAAATCGCATTCTAGTTTCTAATTAGAAACTGCCACACGTAAGATCCAATTCTCCACGTTCCACTTTTTGGAAAGGCTTGATCTAAACTACTGTACTATGCTTCTCCTTGGAATGCTGTGAAAAATCGGAAACCCGTCTTACATGAGTATTTTGCTGTCTACAGTATTCTCATGGAAGAGTTCACGTTATTATGACAGTGACTTTTCCTTACTGCAGAGAAAGGGGGGAAAATACGATGTAGTGGGTCCACGCATAATGCAAATGATCCATTCCTGGATGGGATTCATTTTGTGGAATTTCCGTAATGCAGAAATGCAAAAGGGGCTTCCAATGTATTGTTTGCTAAATTGAACAAGGAGTGAATGCATTGTGAATCTTTCAGAAGTAAAAAGGATTAGTCGTAGTTGAACACTTAAATATTTACCTGGTCATATTTGAATAAATAATTTCGACAAATGCGTTTTCTCAACTTTCTAAATTTCACAAATTTTAAGGAAGAGGCAAGAGTTTCCCCTCCTTCTATAATTATCCTCGATTTTTTTCAAGTTCCGAAGTTTTTGCCCAAAACTTGCCAAAATTAGAGCGTTTTTCAGCTGGCAATTTGGTAAAGGGAAACAATTTCTGAATGTGAGTCACGTTTTCCCCCCTTGAGAAAGTTCTTTTTACGGATTTTTCGTTGTGTGGTTCTTCCGTTATGCGAGGACGCACTGTACTTCGTGGGTGCAAAAATGAAGATGACTTGTCTTGCGAAAGCCAGCTTATGGACACTTGAACAGTTGACTTGGGAAACTGTGTAAAACCCTTTTGACAGTGTCGTGTGTGCGAGCGAGCACTGCTCGACGGAGCGTGCAGGAAACGCGGCTGTGACGGATGACCTCCGCGTTTTAGCGGCGCAGCGTTTGCGATGTGTGCTTTGCGTGTGATTTGAAACCCGGGTTCCCGTTCGACATGGAATTTTTCGAGAGCGTGCGGGACCGTAAGTTTGTTTTTCATCATGGCTTTCCTGGCCCGAAATTTCCTCGCTTGGGGTTAACGAATATCTTTGCCCCATTTTTCACGCTCGGAGCAATGGAAACCAGCTGGGATTTTTCATGGGAAGTAAGATGACTGCTGCTGGAGGGAACAGGCTTGCGAAGACAGCTGAATTATTCGCTCGTTGTAGATTTTTTAGGTGCTTTTCACTCCTTGCTTTAATTTTTGAGAAGGTTCTTATGTGTCGTACGTCATACTAGTGCACTCCCATGTGCGAACTACTGTATTTTACTGCATCTCAACTTTCTTCCTCTTCGGCTTCTACCTGTTGGCTTATTTTGCCCTTGGAAAAATGTCATAGAACTCATTCAAAATTAAACTGGAAGTGGTAATTCTGTTGAGTTTGCTCTTGGAAATAGCGAAAGAGATGGACTTGTTTCACTCAAACTCAACATTTTCACATTGTCACATTTTCTAACGGGCGAGAAAGTTGGGGAAATGTTCATTCCAGCATTCTTGATGTTGGTACACTATTTCCAAAAATTGGAAGCAACCGGTTAATTTTGAAAATTGAAAACTAACGTAAGCAATGTTAATTAGTTGACATGCAATCATAATGATCTGTCACACTTGTTGAAATCACCACCCGTTATCCAGAGAAAATTTTAAAAACGTAGTGATTGCCGTCAGCTGATCTGCTTACTGTCTGCTTTCCCCACTTGCATTACCTCATTACGGTTTTCGAAGTTTCAGAGGAGTATTTAGGCCTAAATTTAGTTTCGTTGCGGGAATGTTCTACCCAAAACTTGGAGCCAACCGGTCAATTTTGAAAATGTAACGAGTCGTAATGTGCGTCTTTCTCCGTAGACTTGATGCGATTGAATTTCTATTTCTATAGAGATTAAAACCCCCCAAATTTGTTTGATCTTGGCAACCATGATATGGCTGATACATAGAACTGTGAACACACGATTCTAAACAAACCAATTGAGTTGAACTTTCATGTGAGTATTTAAGGTTTGATCTCAACTTTTTCTAAGTTTCAGAAGAGTTGTTGTTCAAAGATCAGGCCAACACTTCCTACTCCATCCCGTAGGTGTTGGCGCTCACCAAGTTGTGACATTTTGTGCTTACGCCAAAGTCCCGTGATTTTGTTCAGTTGTATGCTTTTTCAGCACCCTTTTTGAAGGCATGCCGATTTTTTTTCCTTGCTTCAGTTTTGCCGGATTGGCTGACGATGAAGCCGAATTTCGACCGAGCCGATGAAGCCTGTGAAGATTTCGTTCGTGACGGTTGGGCCGAGGACGAGGACGACTTGACCATGTCGAGTCGAATGGATCTCTTTCATTTGCATTTTCGAGACGTCGAAGATCTTGTCCCCGATCCGAAACCGCTTACTGTGAAAGGTGACACTTTCAAATTGAAATTGAAATTTTATCACGAGTTCACGAGTACTTTACTTTCGTACCACCTGGTCCACAGTTACGAAGTTCCTTCTCATTTAAATCATTGCGTTGGTTGTGCTGCTGTCCCGACAAATTTTCATGAATTCAGTATCTTGGGGACTTTCCCTAATGTAATGCGTTTGTTATTTATTCAAAAGAAAAATTGATGTGATGTGATCAAACTTCTCGCAGGTAAAAATCTATGTTGATCACCGTGAAAATTTGCGTCAAGAAAGATATTTTGAGCCAAAAAATAGTTCTGCCTGACGATTCTTATGTATTTCCTGTCGCAGGGAATTTTCCGACGTGGCTGCGCGGGCGATTCATCCGGATAGGCCCGGGAAAGTTCGATTTGTCAGAGGATTTTTCAGTTAATCATTGGTTTGATGGATACGCTTTGCTGTACAAACTCGACATCGATGACGGGAATGTACGTTAACTTAATTTTTTATAGATATTTTTCCGAAGTATGAGGGTCCTTTCTTGAGCTTTGCTTTTCAATTCTAACCATCTTCAGAAGCAGTACGCCCCCAGAAGTAATTCAGATTTTTTTTTCTGCGTTCCCACATAATTTTCAAACAATCATGAAAGGCAGGCGAACTTCGCTGAAGAGATCACCCTGTCATTCTTTTACACGGTAGATTTTGTCTTTACTTTCAAGCCCACCAAACGATATACAACATCGAAAGCTTAGCCGGCGAATATCGTGCAATTTTTGAGCAACTAAAGTAGATTTTCTGTCGATTTTTTTTTCAGTTTATATAAAACCCCGGACAGCAAATGAGTATAAAATGAAACAATGGTCGAAATGTCGATTTGGTGACGATGCCTGAATTTCACAGTTCTGTATAAGGTAAAAGAAACTTTTTGCAGAAATCTTGTCTCGACAATTAGCCTAGCCGTTGAAAAATAAGAATCGAAAAAATGCCGCAGCGCAGCAAATTGTTTCGAAACAAAATCTGTTCGGTACCCGAGACAAAAGAAAGTTCAAATTTTTACAGTCACTCAAAGAAGCAATGTAGAAAAATTACCTGCCTGAAAAGGATTGGGAACTAGGAAACATTTCTTGCACAGCGTTAAATATCCTCAAGAGCGGCTGGCACGTCAATTGCGAAAATTTAGAAAAGACCCTCATATTCACCCGAATGCGCTCCTGATTTCTACGAGGCTCAAGGATACAGTATGTTGAAAATGTGCTTCGATAGGTGAGCTTGACGAAGAAATTCTTGGAATCGGATGCGTACAAAAAGGCTATGCAACACAGGAGACCCGTGTTCACGGAATTCGGGACCAAGGCGTTCGCGGACCCGGACAAGAATTTATTTGCACGCATGATGTCGAAACTGGTCAATATCTTCTTCCAGCTTCTACAGCAATAATTTCCATTACCAGTTTTTTAATATTTCTGCAGAATCCGTCCAATATGACGGATAACGATGGAGCCAATATCGTTGAACTTTTCGGCAAATTCTACGCTTCGTCGGAAACGTGCTTTATGCGGGAAGTGGATCCGAAAACTCTGGAAACTGGTGCAAAGGTAGGAATTAATGTGAAGGTGGTAGTTTGAAGGAATTTTCATATTTCATCGAAGCTTTCAATCGCAGACGGGATTATCCGGGATTGCATTTGAAGTGGAAGACAAGCCGTCATGAAAGCTTACAACCAATTTGATTTTGTCGGAATGATTTTTCTTAGTCCATATATAGTACTGTACTGCGTAGCGAAAATTTTTTTGATGTAGACGTGTCGTTCGTTGTTGATTATCAGAAAGGAAGTTCAAGAAAGATTTTCTTCGCTGTTTTTTCGTAATTCAATCTTGCAAAGTATGTGTACTACAACTACAGGTGAACTCCCTCTACGACGAAATTCAAGGGAACATAAAAATTTCGATGTCCACCTGTACATCCTCCACATTGAGACACTTCTGGTTCGAAATTAGATTTTCCGGTATTGATTGGATTGTTAGGTGTCATATGTACAGTACTGCATATACCTCACCTCCATGACGAAATAGTTGCCGCAAGATTAAAAACAATCTACTTGTCTTCAAATTGAATTTCTTCAAAGGATCTCCGGGCGAGTCTTCTTTTATTTCTCCTTCTTTTATACATTTTTTAATAAGCAGGGTAATCCTTGATATATGCGAGATTAAAGAAACTGAATGCATGTTTTCAGCTGGATTTCTACAAAGCTGTTGGAGTCAACTTCTTGTGCAGCCACCCGTTAGTGGACGGAGATGTTGCGTACAACATTGGGACGAGTGTTATGGCTGGAGTGAGACATCACGTCATCAAAATGGAAAATCCGGGTTCTGGTGCGTCCATGAGCGATCATTTTTGTGAAATGTTAAAGCATGTGATTTTTCCCGCTGTTTTCCCGCGTTTTTGCAGAACCTTTAACGAAAAAAACCTCAATACTCACAAGTTTTTCGCCTCGATGGAAAACCTCCTTTTCGTATGCCCATTCGTTTGCGATGAGCAAGAAGTATATTATTTTTATCGAGCTTCCGTTACTTGTGCATACGACGAAATTGATCATGTCGCAAACGATGGGACACAGCCTTCGGGACTGCATGGAATGGTTCCCCGAAGATCATGTGAGTGGTCAAACAATTCTTCACTAGGTATTGCAGTATAATGAGCATTTTGTTACGCTTTCAGTGCCGTTTCGTACTTATTGAGAAAAAAACTGGGCATGTCGTGAAAACGTCCTACATCACTGCCGATCCTCTTTTCTTCTTCCACGTTATCAACGCGTTTGAAACGGACACTGACGAAGTCAATTTCTGATTTTGACCATAGGTTGTTTTGTTTCTGAATTTTGTATTCTCTCGTTGCAGCTCGTGATCGATCTGATCGGAAATGATTCCGTGCGAATCATCGATAACTTCTTGCTGGAAAAAGTTCGGAGCAATTTATTTTCTCCCAAGGACCCCGGGTATTTCAGACGATTCGTTCTTCCACTGGAGGGATTCAAAGTAAGGCGGCAGTGATTTATAGATATTTATCGAACTGTTTATTAGTGATGTACAATCAACTTTGATCATCTTTGTCTCAATCGAAAGAAAATTCCCTCAATCATGTCCTAGCAGAAGTTCGAAAGCTTCTGAAATCGTTGCTCTTTGTCCCAAATTTTGGACCCAGAGACTTCTTTGCAGCATGATTAAACGATAGAAATTTTCATGATTCCCCTCAATTTTTCTTGTTGATTTCGTGTACCTCTTCATATTGTATTGCATTCTGTAAATTTTTAGACGAATTCCAGTTGATCGTGACTCGAAACGTCCTTTATGATCCTGTACTCCACTAATGTAAGAGGATGATTATGTATACTTGATTATTCAGAGATTCATTCATTGCCCTGGATCTTGATAGTATCGCTGTTTTAAAATCACTGGAATAATTGTTTGCAGTGCTGATGACGAAAGTTGTGCTGGTTTAGACATTTGACTTTTCTGATCTTAGCTGACAAAATTTTCTAGCAGTACGCAGCGATTTGCTGAAGTTCTGCAGAATTAGTCTGCAATAATTTTGAGAACTTTTCCGAGGTAGTTTTATTGTGAAGTGTGGTGGAATTCGTTTTCAGTGGGAATGAATGGGTAGATAGAGAATCTTGAATTTTGATTTGATTGCTTTTTTTGCTGAAGGATATTCCTTCTGGGAAAAATTTGGTGAAATTGAAGGATTCAACTGCCACTGCGTACAAAATCGGGCACTCAATTGTCGTGCGACCCGAGATTTTCGGAGAGCAAGGCTATGAAAATCCCGTGGTGAATGAAAGCTACAAAATGAGGCCTTATCGTTACTTCTACGCCACTTCCCATTTTTACGGTGGACCATTCGCCAATTCGGTGCGTGAAATCTTTTTCTATTGTGGTGCTGGGTCTGAATATGGCTTTTTTATGTGCATGCTGCCGGGCTTTGGGCGATGTCGAGCAGTTGGTCAAATTCGATGTCGTATCCCAAACGACGCTGACGTGGAGTCAAAACGACAAAACGTTTCCTTCGGAACCTGTTTTCGTTCCAGAAGCGAACGCATCCGAAGAAGATAAGGGGTTAATACTTTGTACGGTTAAAGACATCTGCCCTGCTAATAAGGATTTTCTGTTGGTGCTAAACGCTAAAACGATGGAAGAAATCTCTCGAGTAGAAACATCCCACGAATTGCCGGTGTTGATTCATGGTCATTTTTTCAAATGTCCCTGACGATTGCTATAATATGGGAATTGTTTATTGTTCACGGTGCGGTTTCGTGTTGCATGATTTGCATGAAGTGCGGATTTAGGTTACTTGAGGTTCTTTTCATGCATTTTGTCGTCGAATTAACAAGGGTTCGTTATGAAACAGCGACGATGATAACGGTGAGTTCCGGTGCACCATGTTCTATTCGTTTCGGATCTCAACTAGGCTCTCGTTTGAAGTGTGAACATTTGCTATTATGTTTGATGAAAGAACAAAAGGGAAATATTTACAACTGGTTTTCACGTAGCTAACCATCGTTTCCCGCGCAAATCGAGTGAATATTTTTTCTACTTGAAGTTTCTGCCGTCAAAGATTTGATTCAAGCTGAAGAATGGGATATTTTTGGCTGAAATATCGTTTCATTCCGTTATCTTGAAATTTAGAATTTTGTTTTCGATGCATTCAGACATCACCGGTTCATAATCATCGGGTTAAATTCAGAATTATCAACGCTATTGTGAATATTTCGAAATTTCAATGCATTTGGAAGCATTTTTTTTCGTCGTTGTACCATATGTTACCCCAAAAGTTGGCGGAAATTCGAATGTTAACGTTCTGTTACCCTGAATTTTTGCGGAAATTCGTGGAACTCGGGAAAATTTACCAATTGTATTTGTGTGGTGGCTTGAGAATTAATCGCTAGGGTTCAGAATCACGTGGAAACATTTATTTTTCGCATGAATAATGGTTTCGTGTTCGTGAATGTTCCACTGACCTTCACACGCATCCCCTATGTTTTCTCGTCGGCGTACATAATACGTGCATTGACCCGCTTTTGGGTGTCTGATGCTGTTGATTTGATGATACTCACACCGGGAAGGTTGGCATTATAGCGAGGTAACATTGAATAAAGATTTCATATATGACCGTGAGAGTGTTGTTCATTCTAGATTATCAAGGTGGACCTCCAAGAGAAGAAAATTCGCCGGTGGCATTTGAATGAAAAAACTTTTCCCACGGAAGCCGTGTTCATTCCGTTTCCCGGCGGATCTGCGGAGGATGATGGAATCCTGATGACGACTGTGACGGTGTTCGATGAGAGTTTGACCCATCCAGATCTTGAGAGGCGTCGCCAACCTACTGATTTTCTAGTGGTTTTGGATGCGAGAACTTTGGTTGAATTGGCGCGAGCAGAAATTGATTCTTATCTGCCTATGGGACTGCATGGAATTTGGAGCGATACGCGTCAGGTTGCATCGTAAACCATAATTGCTGCTGAAAGCGTTCATTTTCAGTTTTTAACTCTGTTCTTACTTGAGTGCTCGAGTCCTCCGTTGATCCATGAGATGGGTTGAGCACTTTTCGAAAAGTATACTCGAATCTCTGTTCCAATCTATTCGTGGTACTTCATGTTCAATAAATGAAAGTAGCTTTAAAAATTACCCCTAGCAAAACCTTTTGGCAATACAAGTCGTTACTTCGGTTTATTTTCTCCGGGAATAGCCAGTTTTTAAAATTTTTTAGATTAACTTTGCTATGCACAGTGCATTTTATTGCTAGTTCGAATTACCTCTGAAAAAATTCTTACATCTACTTTTTCACGTCATCGTGCAATTCGTTGCTCTTGAATACCGTAGCATTTCAAAAGGAACGTCTGAATTGCTGTGAATTTTCTAGAATTTCTTGGACGGACTGGCTCTGGAGACCACTGTATAAGGGCACTCATAATTACTTCACCTTTTTCATTGCATGATATTTTTTTTAAATCTAATAATCGTGTGTAGTATATTGCCAGCACCTCAAAAAACTTTTGTCTGGCTTTCAAGTGACAACCCGTCTCCAATTTCTTACGCGAGCTATCGGGTTCACCGTTTGTATCGACAATTCGTCACGTACTCACGTATTTCGCTTCTTTAAAGATATTTCAAGTGTTCTTTTCCGCTCAAGAATTAAACTAGGGTTGCCCAAGATACGGCCCATGAATTTCTTCTCTGGCCCTCGAAAATTTACCCCACGATTTTTAAAACATCACATGCCAATCGAACTCCTAAAATACCTGGAAAATCAACTGCGTATTTCCTCTTTTTTCGCTACTCAGTTTGAAATATAATAAAATAACATTTCAAAATCCTGATTAATTTAAAGATATCTAATTGCTTTGATATGAAAAGGCATTGTAGCATGCATTGCAAATTTTTTTTGCAGAATGTCTACATCTTACGGACCCCTCCACCTATACAAATTTTGAATATTATGATGCGTCGTAATTTCTTCTTTTGGCCGTCAAAGACGTTACTCCTTGCCCTTTTGGCCCACCACCAGTTTTGAGTTTGGCAGTATGGGCACCACTGGTTTAAACAAATGGGAAAGTGCTAGTAACTCAGTCTAGCAGAGGTAATTTTAATAGGGCTCTAAAATAATGTCGGCATGAACTGCGTGGTTGACAGGTTTTTGCGTTCGTTAGAAGTCCTCCAAATTGCCACCCGGGCCAGCGATGTCTTTCAGCAGGGAAGGCTGTATTTGCTTAAATTTCTTCTGCTCTCTACCTGTGGAGATTTCGCAATGTCAGCTTGCTTTTATCTTGATGGGAAGCATTTTTAATTTACTAAATTGAAATTTTTCCGGAGAAGGAAAGTCGGTGGTGTACTTCCAGCTCGGCTCGAAAAGTGAAACGTCGTTGTTTTAGTGCACTGCTGCGTTGTTGAGATGTTGTGGTTTGAATAGTAGTTAACATCCGCAGTGTCTTGCAATTTTATGAAAAACTTTCTCTTCTCAATCTGTGGTAGTATTCTCTAGAGAGAGAATTGCTTGCGCAAAATATATGTGCAAGGCGATTACGCAAAATTCCCGAAACTGCGGTTATTTGCAGTGCTGTGTGAGCGAGTACGTGACATTGAATTCTTCCATGGCTGTGATTGCTTCGCGCGTGTACGTTGGCTGAGTGATCTAGGAGTGTATCATTTCGTCTGGAGATCGCTTTTGAGACGATATTGAAATGTAGATCTGAAACATCCTGGGAAATTATTTTTTATGTTCCATTTGCATCAAAGCAAGAACAGGTACGTTCGAGTGTCGTTCATAATTATCGTCAGTCTTACGATTTTATGTGAAGGTTCATGTCGGATGGATGCAGAAGAACTGGATTTCACAGAGCGATGTGTGATCAATTACTGACCGCTGTTGAAATTTTTACTTTTCCAGGCTGAAATGAAGAAATTATTAGATAACTCTTCACATATGAAGGACAGTAATTGATAATCGGTAAAGTTGAATTATTTATCAACATGTATGCAGTCTGAATGCGACAACGTGTTTGAAATAATGTAACTGCTTATCTTCCAAGTGAGAATTTTCCAGAAGCTAGCTGAAAACGTCATTTAATGAGAGAGAAGGAGCCTGTGTCGGATAAATAATCAGCTAGTCCAAATTAAGAGAATGCTTGCGTTTTACGTTGGGGGTTCTTGAGGAATCCGGCGTAGAACCGTAGGCTTGAAAAAATGTTCATCTCAATGTAGGACATATTTATTTTAACTTTGCCTCGAATCCGAGGGATTACATTGTCAGCATCCCCAGATACTCAGTTGTGGCAAGTCTCGCGGAAAACCACTGACTTTGATTTACAAGTTCTCTCATTTTATATTTGTTTCATAATAGGTCGATGCAAAATTCGAGTGCTTCGAATCCGCGATAAGATGTGCAACATTTGACGAAGAAATGTTCGCAACAGTGCTCCACTTCTCCGGTTTTAGAACAATCCAAGCAAGTTTCCCTTGTAGCTGGTCCGTCGCAGTAAGATCCGGAGGTAGACTTCTTTTCTCGTAATGCGTACCCCGTCAGCAAGTGACAGCAATCCTCCACATAATGCGTTTTGCAGCATGTTTCTGCGTCAATTGGCTGAAATTCCAGATCGCCGTACGATGTCATACCGTGATCGTCGACGCCGTCCCTTCGAATGCTGCTGCATAGGCGTAGCGTGGTAAAGAACAGAAAGAAAGGAGGGCCTAAACGCCGCATACTACTCTCGGAGCACTACTCCTATTCGGGCTACTTGCACTCCACCTAAGGAAGCCTTCTGTGTCCAATTAATATCGCTTGACTTGGATGTATGAAGCAGGGTGATTCACGCGCTAATTCTCACGAAAACTTGCATATCTCCATCTTTCATAATTAGATAATTATTAGAAGATCGTTGAGGGGAAAAAAGTCTCGACGTCGTCCGGCGAGTCGTACATGTTCTGCGCCTGCGAAACCATTTGGACATGTGGTTGGCTCGTGGGAAATGGAAGGAAATTATTAGGATCACTATTGTCTATCGAGAGTAATTCGGGAAACAATTTAGGCATCCTCAGGAGAACTACTATGTCTGAATTTCACTGTTGCTAAAATCGTTCATTACAGTAGTAATGGAAGAATTTCGCTGTAGACCTGTAGTTGCCCCTGAGACGATCGAGCATTTTCCTCCTCATACTCAAGTGCCGAAAACTTGCTGCTTTTAATATTATGGATTATGCTAAAATCTTCTCCTCTTGTCCACTTTACTATGACAAACATTTCACAATTACTTGTTCGTAATTCGTAAGAAATCAATTTTTTGTGAAAGTAGCGCGTGACTTACCCTGCGTAAAACTTACTCATGTTCCAAGGTTTTTGATGGCGCTGGGTATCCTGAAGTCACAATATTCGCACGCCTGGAAGAAATAGATACAATGCAGTATAACAGTATTGTAAAATCTGCGAGCAGAAATTGTTGTATCATCACTTGATTTAAACGCTGATTATACATTTTCATCAGTTCGCAAATCAAAGTCGATAATTGAAATGGTGATACTCAGTTACTTCAACTTCCGACAGCAAGAAAAGCATATACATAAAATTGTTGTCCATAAAATTACCATACTTCTCTTAGCCATTTTTTTTTACCTTTCGCCTAATTGTAAAATCTGCGAGCAGAAATTGTATCATCACTTGACTTGAACGCTGATTATAAATTGAACGCAGATTGTATATAACAAGGTGAAAAAGGTTATTTTTTCTGTTCGAAAAGCTTTGCAAAAAACGGAACCGGATTATTGGAACCCAGAACAGTGACATAGGGGGAGGGGGATAAGAAGGCACAGCAGGAAAAGGATAAAATAGAATCAATCTTCTACATCACAATTGTTTACAAATCACTGATGTTTCAGAAATAAAATACCATGTTTTAAACACCAAAAAATCACTTCAGAAATTTTTTTAGGCTTCCACAGGCTTTTGAAGTGGGGACAGGAGTGACACATTTTATACCACCACCAGTGGCATGAGTAGAATTGAAATCTTCGATTCAATTTTCTCCTCCCCAAGATTTGTTGGCGCTGCCTCCTCCTGTTTTTTGTGATTGGCCTTGATCTCTTTTTTAATGCAGGAATGATTGTGTGCTCACAACCAATTTTTATGTCCTTGATCTGGTTTCCTCTTGAAGGGATTTTATATATATTGTGCTTGTATTGATTCATAGATGCCTGATTTAAAAAATCCTAATTACTTTTCTCTTTTCAGCTTTTGCAAAGTTTTCATTCTCTTTAGAAAGTTGGAATTCCCCAGCTCAGTAATTTTTAGTTTGAAATTCCCCAGCTTGTAGAATTTCCTTTTTGAATTCTCTGGTTGCCTATTTGCCTGGTGGGCCTAATCCTACATCATCAATAGCACCCACCTTAACCCGGCCCTGATGCCGCCAAAGGTTTTGGGGTGGATGAGGAAAAGTAGACACATATTGTATCCATCTTTTCTTATAATTGAGCTATATACGGCATAAAAGGTCAAATTTAATTTAATAAACTTTTCAATGACCAGCCAAAAAGACCAATTGTCCATTGATAAATTACACTTCACAGTAATGTACTTATGAAAATTGTTCCCAGGTTTGTCTACATTGCGTCATTGCTTTTGTATCCTGTTTTTTTTTTTTTAATTAGGAAAGTTCAGATACTGTTCAAGAAGTCCGTGAATTTTGGATGAATACCTTTTATAGCGGGGCGTCAATGTCGTTTGAAAATTTTTGTGTGTGTAAATGAAATAAATTTTTGAAGTACAGCATTTCTCTTCAGTCGTTTGTGAGACGCCCCTTTTCAAAAATTAGTCCCTTTTTTCCTGATCCACCGATAATGCATTTGGAATATTTGGAACATTTTTTGTTCGAACTTATGTCAACAAGCTAAAAAGTGCCAAAACACCCCTTATATAACCAGATATAATCGACAAGAACCGTTTTCTTTTTTAAAGTGCTAGTAGGAGACACTAAGCTTGAGGGCTCACTAAAAATTCCGGAGCATAATGAACCACGAGAAATTTGATTAATTCAATGCACTTCTTCTGCATATTATGCAACATACATTCACTTTATAATCTTTCGTAATATGATCAGCAAATACTATGGATACAATGAAGGTCCGAATTATCACTCACCCGTTTTATATGACTGTGGGAATCAGGGCTGAATCGATGAGATGATGAATCGATTTTCGTTGCAGCTGATCGGTGAGTCACCTTTTCTGCGGCATGGTGTGTATTTCCTCCCGTATGCTGGGCTGCCCAGGCCGGGTTCCGGGTGAATGTTCCGTCATGTGTGGAGTTTCCGGCCTGATGTGACCATCACGCGTAAGTTATACCTGGCGGAAAAAGCAGGTTTTCTGTTGATTTGATGAGCTTATATTAGATGCATTCTCCGGGTAGCACCCGTGTTTCCGGTAGATAGTTGTCGGCTTCTGTTGTTCCATCCAGAAGCAGCAGATGTTCTCGTCGTATACTTTTCCCGCATGATGAGTTGTGCGCACTTTACCATGTGCGTCTAACCTCAATTTTAATTTTGTAACTGCTAATATGCTTTTAATAGTTACTCTATATTCTGTAGATGTAGAATAACATAAGTGTGCTACGGATTTTGAATGCGTCGCTTTCGCGTGTTTTTCTATGATGCACTATGGATGATGTACGTGTACCGCATTTAAGCGACCGCAAGCCGAATCCATGCCGATTTTTTTATATTTTACAAAAAAAAGTATAGATCAGTGTTGCCGAACTTTTTTTGGCCCGTAGACCGGCACATTTTCCATAAGATTTTATGCGGACCGGAAAATTTCCATAAAACTTTTTCGCAGACTGGCAAATTCCCAAAGCATTTTCTACTGATTGGCAAGGTTTTATAAAATGTTTGCGGAGTTTGCGGACTCACAAAAGTTTTTCTTGGAAGAATTTATGGCAGGTATTCAAAAGTTTCTGCTTTTTTGCAAAAATTGAGTTTAGCACCAATGTAGCTGCTATATAGCTGGATGTCATCAAAAAATTAAAGTGGCTTATAGAAAGGTTTCTTAGAATGCAAAATTAAAATAATTGTTTTCATCAAGTTAAAAATTTTTCTGAAGTGTTATTAAGAGAAAATGTAACATTTATTTTTCATGAAATCATTTTTACTGCCATTGTCTTTCCATTTTTTCAGATAAATAGAACAGACTTGAGTTATACTTTTTGATTAATTTATTACGCTGAAATTTTCCCGAGGACCGGCAAAAAATTCTGCGTACCGGCGCCGGTTCGCAGACAATGGGTTGGGGAACACTAGCACTGTATAGAAACTATAGAACTATAGATGACCAGAAGTCAGATTTTTTACTGGCATTTTGTTTAAAATAAACTGAAAAATCACGACATATTGGGACTTCGGTGAGCGGGGATTGCGGGCTGGCAAAACCTTACAACTTTTCAGGCATTAACTTTTCCAAATTTGCAACCACAGAAAAAGACTGTGTTGAATGCTTCATGCTGGGACTTCTCATCGCATTACTGCATATACCAAGATGGCTATCGTACTAGGGTTTTCGGTGGAAAGTTACTCCGTAATCAAGTTTTTTGCTCTCCTATAGGACCTATACGATGTCATTCGACTCAAAATTCCAGATGCTCGATATTTAATTCACAGGTGGAAATAATGGACAGATCCCTTTGATTGAGGTGTCGTCACCAGCATGCCGGAAGATTTGCTTTCT